TACAACCTGCAGAGAGTGAATCTGATACTGAAACAAGAAGATATGGTTCCAGAGTTCCACAAAACCATCCAATTGATGCAGTCATTGGTGATCCAAAAGGAGGAAGATTAACTCGAGGTAAACAAATTGACTTTAAGAATTTGTCTGGGATGAATTGCTTTATTTCCACAGTTGAGCCAAAGACAGTAGACGATGCCCTCAAGGATGAATATTGGATTAATGCAATGCAAGATGAGCTGAATCAGTTCACAAGGAATCGAGTATGGTATCTGGTTGAAAGACCAACTGATGTGAATGTCATTGGAACTAAGTGGATCTTCAAGAACAAATCTGATGAAAAAGGGAATGTTACCAGAAATAAGGCGAGGTTAGTTGCACAGGGGTACACACAGATCGAAGGCATTGACTACGATGAAACATTTGCTCCTGTTGCACGTATTGAAGCAGTGAGATTACTGGTATCTGTTGCATGTTCCTTGGGATTTACTCTCTACCAGATGGACGTCAAGACAGCATTTTTGAATGGATGGATTAAAGAAGAAATCTATGTTGAACAACCAAAGGGATTCGAGGATCCTTTTCATCCAGATCATGTGTACAGACTGAGGAAAGCGCTTTATGGTCTTAAGCAAGCACCAAGAGCCTGGTATGAGAGGCTGTCCAATTTCCTGCTTGAAAAGAAGTATGTTCGAGGATCAACAGACAAGACCCTATTTATCAAGCTGCAAGGAAAAGATCTTATGATTGCTCAAGTATATGTAGATGATATCGTGTTTGGATCAACTGCTGAATCGTTGAAGAACGAATTTGTGAGATTCATGGAAGCTGAATTTGAGATGAGTATGATTGGTCAGCTCAATTTCTTTCTGGGATTACAAGTTAAGCAGCTAGCAGATGGAACTTTCTTGAGTCAATCGAAGTATGCTCAGAATATGGTTGAGAAATTTGGCCTTCGTGATTCAAAGGTTGTCCGGACTCCTTTAGGACAACAGGATAAGCTATCCAAGGATGATGATGGGAAGATTGTTGATCAGAAATTGTACAGAAGTATAATCGGGAGTTTGCTGTATCTGACTGCTAGTCGCCCTGATATTTCTTTCAGTGTTGGCGTATGTGCAAGGTTCCAATCAGCTCCTAAGGAATCTCATTTGAAGGCTGCTAAGAGGATTCTCAGATATGTCAAAGGGACGACTGAACTTGGACTGTGGTATTCGAACAGATCTAGTCTTGATCTTATTGGATTCACGGACTCAGATTGGGCTGGATGTTGCGATGATAGGAAAAGCACAACTGGTGGATGTTTCTATATCGGGGACAATATTGTGAGTTGGAGTTCGAAGAAACAAAATTCAATTGCTCTATCCACTGCTGAGGCTGAGTACATTGCTGCAGGAAGCTGTTGTGCTCAATTGTTGTGGATTCGACAGATGCTGCATGATTATGGAATTATTCAGGATTCATTCACTCTATTCTGTGACAACACAAGTGCTATTAATATTTCCAAGAATCCAGTTCAGCATGGGAGGACAAAGCATATCGACATTCGATATCATTTTATTCGAGATTTGGTAGAAAATGGGGTGTGTGATCTGCAACACATTGGAACAATTGAACAGAAAGCAGATATTCTCACAAAGCCTCTGGATGGAGACCGATTCGAGAAGTTAAGGAGGAACTTGGGTATGTGTTCATGCCCTCTCTGAATTTCACTGCATAAGTGAAAAATTATTTATCTCCAATTTATTATGTTTTCATCGATGAATATTGGAGATATATAGATATATATATATATGTATTTATATATGTAAGGGGAGAAATTAAATACTCTGGAAATAGGATTTTGGGAATCGTGGTGATAAGGATCATTCCAGAGAGAGGGATTTAAATTGCAGAAGTTGAAGTGACTTAAAGTTGTCAGTAACGCTGCAGCTACTGAGTCAAGACAGCCTTTTGGGGAATTGATTGACTAAGGGGGAGAATTCGTAATTGAATATTCAAAGGCGTGTTCTGATCGTCTCTCTACCCTGGCTATTTCCTTTGGCAGTTGTCGTTTGTGGAGATAACCTCCTCCAGTCACAAGGTTTTCCCTCATTCTTTTCTCTCTTGCGAAAAATCATGGCTCGAACACGTTTTGGGAATGTTCGTCGCGCCGGAGCCGAAGGTGGTAGACGTGGGCGTGCTGGGACTCGAGGCAGAGGTCGTGGTCGACGAGGTGAAACTGTTAGTCCCTCTCCCGAACCCATGGAGGTTTCTGAATCGATTAATAATCCTCCGCCACTGGCCGAAGGAAATCTGAAGGAAGCAGAGGACGACACTGTTATTCAAACCCTACAGTCCTTGAACGAACAATCGAAGGTTCTAGAGGAAAATGTCTGTCCAAATGAAGGTATCATCACTGGAAATGAAGTTTCTGTTGAAGAAGAGCCTCCAACTGTCGCTGGCGAAGCCCCCATTGAAGAACTCGAAAAGGTTGCTGAGGAGCCCCTGGTTACTGAAGAAGTTCAAAATGCTGGTGATGCTGAGGAAGTTGTTCCACCACACGTCGCTGAACATGAGGTCCCTAACACACAGATAGATGAAGTGGTTGCTGAAGAAGAAGTTCCTACGGAACAAGTTGTTCATGGTGTTGAAACAGAAGGTACAAATCTTGAGCCTCGTTCTTCTTCTGAAGATCTTGATGCTCTCATTAACAAGGTCGTGAGTCAGCTTCCTTCTCAAGATAAGGAGTCATCTTCCGAAACGCCTGGACCAGACACAGTCCCTGATTCTCCGTTACTTGGAAAAATGGTGGAAGGTAGTGAAAAGGTTGTTGCGACATCAGAACAACAACCATCTGCAGAACAGGCCATGGAGGCTGAGTTTACTCCATCATCGTCAAAGAGACAACCCTCCAAAAAGAGGAAGTCGTCTGCTGGTGTTCCCGGGTCTTTTCGAAAAAGGCTCAAACGATCTTTTTCAAAGAAAGTCATAAAGGGAAAGAAGTCCAAAACTCGTCAGAAGGCTCTCGGATCTCATCCTGTTACTGCACAACAAGCTATGGATACTACACACTTTGATGATCTTGCTGAAGTGTTTGAGTACGACATTCTCGCCGACCGAAAATTTGTGATTGAAAAGAAATTCACGAGCAATGAGCATGTGGAGGTTGGTTTTTCCGATTATCTGCGCCGGAAAGGATTGTTTCACTGGGCTGTCAAATTGCGGAAGTACTGTCCAAAATTGGTCAAGGAGTTTTACGCTAACCTTTCTGCTCATGTCTTAGATCAAGACTCTCCCTGGTTTCATAAAGTTTATGTGCGTGGCAAGGTTTTTGAGCTAAGCCCGCGGGTCATCAACAAGCTGTTAAAGCTCCCTCTTGACAATCCTGAAGAGCTTCCCTCTGATCTTCTGAAAGACTCCACGAAAGATGTTGCCCTGTTTCTGTCCTCACGCAAGTCAGTGGACTTTGGTAGAAAAGGACTCAGTGCCTCTGAGCTTTCACTGAGATTTCAATGTCTTTTCCGTCTCTGCGCCAAGAACATTCTTCCAACCAGCAATGGAACCACTATTGGTTCTGAAATGGGTAAACTAATGTATTCCATTGATCGCTTTTGTCCTAACATTAACTTTGGTTTTATTGTGATGTCAAAAATGGTCAAGTTCTCTCGCGGTCAGAAAACGGAAGGTACGAACCTACCGTATCCTGCCTTGATCACACTGTTGTTGAAAAAGAACGGCATTGTTCCGGATCCTGCCGAAGACGTCATCAACCTGGAGGTGTTTCAGCCCAAACCGAATATTCTCAGTCTGCACAACGACATTACTGACGACATCCCCCGAAATGCGACCGAACAGCTTCTTGAAGCCCGACGAATTCTTCAAGAAGTGGTGCAAGAACAAGCGGCCATCCGCATCACTCTGGGAGAGCATCGTCAGAAAATCATCCGTGCGGTCAACCTCATGCCGAAGATTGGTTCTGTACTTGCTGATGAAGGGGAGGACCCTTCGCTTCTCTGATCTGCTCGTCCATCCCTTTTTGGCATCTGCTCTCGAGGGGGAGAGATGTGCATGAGATGTGCATGGTGTTGGTGTGTTTGCTGCTTTGCTACTGTTTCCTGCTACTGACTATTTCATTTTGTTTGCCAGGCTGCCTGTAGCCTGTGTTTGTTTTCTGCTGGCCTGTAACAAATTGATAACTTACTGCTGTTTTTGTTTGGATTGATTGGTTTGGTGTGGGAGTGATTCTCCTGCACATTGGGCGAAGTCCCATATGCCAAAAAGGGGGAGAATGTTGGAACAATATTTTTCTCCAACTTTTTTTGGCATATGGTTCTTCTTGCTTTTCTCCTGCTGCCTTTTTCTGTTTCCATTCAGGTCATTTCAACAGACTGCCTGCAACTCTGATGGTCTACTCTTCTCGATTTGGGAACCTTAGAAGAGACAAAAAGAATGAATTTTGGGGTGGTCAACCTTTGACAGAATTCATGCAGGATTACATCATTCCACTTTCGTGCAAAGGGTTTTAATTGAGTTTGTCCTGTATGCCTTGTTTGGCTGCTTCTTGGTTTGTTATGTGGGAAGTATTGTGGTTGTTGCATAGGTTAGAGAGAGAGAACTGTTGTGAGAGAAAGTAAGTTAAATCCTCTCAACCTCAACCCTTCCCTTCTCCATGCATTGAAAGAGTGCTTGTCACATTTACTTGCCGGAGACATCGTCGGAGGAAGAAGAGATTGGAAATCCGATCAGGAGATTCGTCCAAAGTCTGAGCAACCCTGCTATTTGCTAGTTGTCAGTACGAGTTCGTGACAACTTATACCTGTGGAGGGATTTTCCTAGGTGGTTTGCGTCATAGTATGGGATATAGGAGTTTTGGGCTGTTTAGTTCATAATCAACCTTGATTAGTGAACTTCTCCTGGATTGGAATCCCCCGGATGTAGGTTGGTTATAACCGAACCGGGTTACCAAATATCTTGTCTTTTATTGCTTTGGATTTTGCCCTTATTTCGTTGACAAGATAATGTTACAACTGTGATTTTACCACGCTTCGGGAGTTGGCCCATTTTGAAAAGTGTACAAGAATTTATCGGGGTAGCACTTATTCCATCCCAACAGATCAAATTAAATTAAATAGTACAAAGAAAAACTACTTATTACAACCTTAGATTATTACTAATATATTATCCTTAGCTTGTCATTTAGCTGCATATCAGATGGCTGTCTTCCTCTTCTCTCTTCCCTTTCTTCTTTTCTCCATTTCCATCATGCCTTGTCTACTTTTTAAGAAATTCTTACACAACACAACTCACTCTCTCTCTCTCTCTCTATATATAATATATATATATATATATGGAAAAAATATAATTTTGCTGCTTTTATATATACTGAATAATTAATTTTGTCTAATAATTTTGCAGGGCCACATTTTAGTGTTACAAATTACTATATTTTGTTATTAATTTTTTTTAAAAAAAATAACATATCACACTAAAATATGGCCGTGCAAATATATAAGACAGTGATTGTTGGATATAATATATATGTATGATCAAAATTATAATTTTTCCATATATATATATATATTAATAGTAGAGCTTTTTTTTCATTGTGTCTCTACCTGAAACTTCCTCCAAAAGATGGCGTCCAGAAATCGGAGTTTGTTTCGGAAGCAACCGGAAATGTGCTTGAGATCGGGACGAGACAAAGACCTCGGCTGCTTAGATCTTTACTTGGCTCTTTTGTATCCTTAAATTTATGATGATCATCTGCAACCTGCAATTTTTACATGTATATTAGTTACACACTACAAGAAAAAATCATTTTTGTAACAAAATGTTTTTGTCTCTAAATCTACTTTTTCCGTTACTAATGACATTAGAGACGGAATTAAGAATGGAATTACGTTAGCTACGTGAATTTTAGGGACGGAATTCCGTTACAAATATATTATTTTTTTGTAGTGACATAATTAAGACATATTAGAAACTTTTTATATATGAATTTGTGACAACATTAACTTGTCCTTCCCATTGATTGAGTGGCAATTCAATAACTATTGTTATCAATTAATAATTAATTGTTAATGGCAGTCTACCTGTTGGTGTTGCATTGGTGGTGATCCATTTCTTAAGTATGGTGCACTTAATGCCTGAAATTAAACAACACATAAAATGTATCAGAACTTGTAATTGTAAATGTTTATCTAAAATAAAATAGCTTCTAAGATTAATCATTAAAATGGGAAGGGATTAATTGGCATACATTGACTTGATCATGGAGGAATTTGATGTACTCTATTGCTTCTTGGAGAACTGATGCAGTATCTGTCTGAAAACAGAAACGAAGTACCTTTAATTTTAGTTTTAACAGTAAAAAGACCACCTCAATTAAATCAGACAATCAAACATGTGGTTCATGTTTGAGAGAAAAAGATTCCAACTTTTATTTCTCTCTATACTTTTATTTATTTATTTTTACCTTTCCAAAAGGTGAAACCAGCTGCTGGAGGGCAGTTACTCGGTCCCCCAGCTTCTCTTTACGGACCTAATAGAAAAAAAAAAAAAAAAAAAAGGTTAATGTTACACTTACTGGATTTAATTTTTCTTACAAAGATGGTTGGATTTATAAATAATGTCTGTTTAATTATATATGTTGGTGATGAAATTTTTGTGCATACCTTAAATGCCGGCATCGGCGATGATGTTTCGACTCGTGCACGCTTAGCAGCCGGTTCGTTGCCGGTTTTCTTCGCCGGAGTTTCTTTATTATGATGCTGCTGCATATGATTCAAGACATATATGTAAGAACTTAATTGAAGCAATAATTAATTAAATAACACTCTTAGACCATATTTATCACACATGGTTATTTAATCTTGATGTTCTAATGCATTTACTATGGTGGATTAATCAATATGTGTGTATAAAATTACACAAAAAATTTCATCAATCCACTTTGTATATACACCCTTATATGCCTAATTAACTCTCTCCCTCTCTCTCTAGATAGATAGATAGATACAAGTATGGTGTATGTATATATATACATACCCTTGGAGTGGAGTGGCGAAGATTAGGTTTTGCAGAAGAGGTAAGAGAGGATGGAGGACGAAATTGGGGCTGTGGTGGTGAAGGAAGAACAGCAGGCCTAGGCGTGGAATTAATATTCCAGAATTGTGGGTTATTACAGAACTGATGCATTTGAGGTTGTTTCTTGGGCAAAGAATTAGGCTTTAAGACAGGAGTTGTCTGATTATCAGTCAAATTGGGGAGAATTTCAGAGAGATTCATCTGAGAAAAATCTCCGTCGAACAAGGTGTGCAGTAAGGAGCCGGCGTAGGAAGGAGAGCTCAACGGAAAGGAATATTCTGGAGATGGCTGGAGAGGTGGAAATCCTTGATGATGATGATGATTCATTTGTCGGAAATCGTTAACGAAAGACGAATCTTGGTAATAATTAATCTTGTCGATTTGAGGATAATTCTCCTCCGATCGTCCGTTGTCGTCGCTGCAAGAAGACAAGGAGAAAAGGAATGAACTACAGTTGGAGCTACTTGTCTGCAATTCCTTTTTACATATGATTACAAAGGAAACATGCCCAAAAATACTCTCAGCTTTTTCAAAAGTAGTGTGGTAGCACCACCGATTTTTATTTTATTTTATCTTTTTTTATAAATTAATACGACAAATCGATCAGACACAGAATGAATTGAACGTTTAATTAATTTTTTAATCAATTGAAGCTTACAGAAAACCCTGAGGATGATTCCAGATCATATCTAGGGTTGTTGAGGCGACGGACACGTGTCCATCTCCGGCGGCCTGGTGGGGGTGAATTACGACGGAGCTATCGGAGGCGCCGCCGCCGATGGAGTCGTCGCTGGCGGATGTCATCTCCGTCGCCACCGCCGCGCCGATTTGGTGATTGTTGATCGTCGTCGTCGTCCACCCGAAGCTGCTGATGTCGTAGGAACATGGGGATGGGTTGAAGAAATTGTTTCTGGGCGGCGGAGCCCACCAGCTTCCGCCGCAAACTCCGCCGTGAAAGTCTTCCGCCATGGCTGCAGAGTTACTGCCGGAGAAGAATCAAGATTTGAGGCTGTTGTTGACCTCCCGGTAGTGGGATTATTCATATGCAAATGGAATTCCTTCTTTGTGCCTTAATATATACGTTCTATATATATATATATATATATATATATTTATTAAGTATTATTACAAAGCTCTCCGCCACAAGCACAGTCACACACGTGAAGGGTTTTTAAGTTTGGTTCGAGCAATCTTTTTGTCGTTTATATAATTTAATTATATATTTATATTGATTATAATTGGTGTCTCATAGGATTATATTAATTAATTTGGGATAATATATTTTATTAATTGTATATAATAGCGATAATTTTATGGGTAAATTACATCTATTTTAATATAAATGTATGAAATGGATTATTAAATTTATTGATCAATTATTCCAATTAGATAATGTTCATTTTGGAAAAAGATTACACACTTTAAATTATATTTTAAATTTAATAATTTACATATTTTTTAATTTTACTTAAATTAATTAGTTATATTAATTTATAATTATATATTTCTATTATATTTTAATTAATTTTATTAATATATTTTTAATTAATTACTAATCATACATATTTGGAGCATGTAATAATATGATATTTTGGATATAAATTTTTTTCTCATTTTTTGTTATTTATTTAAAAATTTGTATTCAATTCTATATATTACATTTTTATCATTACAAATTCAATTTAGGTGTGTTTAATCGGTGATATTTTGTGTTTTTTTTATTTAATAGTAGTTTGAACCTGTTATTTTGTAAAAAAAATTAATTTATTAAAATTTGTAAAAAATTATATGATAGAAAATAAAAATAAAAGTAATTGTCAAGTAAACAAAGGCTCACAGAAGAAAACTAACAAAGTTTAGACGTAAAAGTAATTGTTCGACCTAAATAAATTCATGATGTTAGAATTATAACTTGTTATTCAACTTCAGCAATAAATCATGCAACAATAGTCTATAATTTACTTTTCCATAATACAATATTAATATCAATAAAATGCAATATCAAAGATTGTATGTGACAATCTTAATGATATAAGAATTTGTAGCTGCTATTATTTGAGTATCTATTTAATTTTTGAATATCCAACATCTTGCATGTAAACCATTATTTACATATTGATGATTGACTATGGTAAAAAATAAATTAATAACTAATGTGTATTTTTTTCAAATTCAAATTTTTAGGTGGAACGGTTTAATATAATTCAACACCCACAGTATTATGATAAATAGAAATTACATATTATCTTAATTTGATTTTTAAAATTGGATATTCAGCCTCAAGGTTTAATTGTGTGTCAAATATAAATGGAACCTCTTTACTTCGAATGTGTTTTTGAATTAATTTTTGGAAGGTTTCAATTTTTAAATTAAAGATTTAAAATGAAAATGATTTTGGATGGTGTTTAGATGGATTTTTAATTTTGAATTGCTTTATAATGATATGATGTGTTTGATTTAGAATTAAATTATATTTTATGATAATATGACTAATAATTTTATTTTATTATTATTTTTTTTTATAAAAAGAAAATTCATAATACAATATGCATATTTTTTTAAAACTATACCTAATAAAAACAAGTCAATATATTTAATAAAAACGGATATAATAAAATGTAGGAAGATGTCTTGGTAGTAGGTACTATAATCTTATTACAATTTAGTAGTCGGAATCCTATTGAACAATTAAAGAATAAAATTTTATTTTTTCTTTTCAATGATTTTGCATGATGAAAGCAAATTATGTGAAATAAAAGCGTATGTATATAAGTATACGTATATGTATAGGCATATGTTGTCAATCATGGAAAATATGCACATACACGTGACGAAACTAGCATTTAAATTCCGATGGAATAAAATGTTATAATTTATTTAATATTTAACTAATAAATTTAAATAAATAATAATGACAGAACTATATATGAATTTAGATAATTTTAGGGGGGCAAATTGTATATAAATACATAAAAATTAATATTTTTAATACTAAAAAATCATAAAAAAAAAATTGGCTTGGAAGTCAATTGACCCCCCAAGCCCTAATATAATTCCGTCCCTGTGCACATAGTAACTATAATGTTTGCAATATACGTATTAAATACATATATCGATGTCGGGTTGACCTAAATAAACATATATAATACATATGATAAATTTTTAAAAGGGAAGTTTGGTAAATTCCACAACTTATTATTATTATTATTATTATTATTATTATTATTATTATTATTTCATCAAATTTGTGTTGGGAGTAATGGGATTGACTTACTTTTAGTACACCTTGTTTGATTCCACATAAATTCTTGGTTGAAAATTGAATTTCACCAATTTTATAATCGTTGACCGTTGATTCTTGGCAAATAGAAAAATAATTATATAAACTTCATTCGGGTCAAAAACAATTTCATTTATAGATTATATATGCTTGATTTAAAATAATATATTTAAATTAAATGAAACCCCAAATTAGTAAAACGCTCAAATTAACACAACCACATACATTCTCATGCTTATGAATTTTTAAATGAATGAAATACGTCAATTCCACTCAATTAATTTAAACCTAATTTATTTGCTTAGTGGGATCAATCAAATTCGATCTCAACTGATAAAATTCAAATGGGAATATGGTTGATGTCATCAAAATAATACTCCCTCTGTCTCATATATAATATGAGTATATTACTGCAGACGCGAGAATTTAGGTAAAGTATAATTAGTAAGTAATTAAGAAATGTATTAGTAAAAATAATTATTGTATAGTAAAAATAATTATAAATTAAGATTAAGATAAATAAATAGTTTAATTAAAATTTAAAATTTAAAATTTGATTAAAGTGATTAATTATATTTTCAAAAAAGAAAATAAAAAATTATGTGGGAGTGAGGGAGGAAGTAGCACAATATTGAATGGAATTCAAGGTTTATTAAATTTAAGCAAAACAACTTAAAACTTAATTGTGGTTAATAATTAAAGGAAACCCTATATTATTTAAAAGTTGTATTAAATTTTTTTATAATTTTAAAAATCATACATTGATGTCCCTTTTATTATTAGTTAACTATAATTTTATAGTTATAGAGGTTTTGAATTATCTTTGCGCATAGTTATAGTAAGTATAGAACAATCATAATTAACTAATAATGGAATAAGGTTAAATACAATATTTTTAAAATTATAAGAGAATTTGATGTAGTTTTTAAACAATGAAAAATTTTGTGCAATTTTTATAAACTATAGATGAATTTTTTATTATTTTGCCTTAAATTTAATAGTAGTTAAGTAATGGAATTATGTATATGTATACATATAAAAGTGTAGAATGATGATGTAAATATATCACACATTTGCATGTTGAATTACAATATTATACATCATCTAATTATTATTATTATTTTTTTTATTTTTGATTCTTCATTCACAATGGTTAAATTGTCTTAAGAACTAAATATTTACCTAGTACATATTACAAAATCCTTTTTATATCATATTTATTTATACAAATATCATTCAATTACAAATAAAGTTATAGGAGCAAAATACTCATTCGACGTAAAAAATAACAGCAACTATCGTTTCAATTTATGCTTTGTCAATTTGTGTTACTAACATTCATTAAAATACATTTCAAGGGTAAAAATAAAGATGATTGAAGACTTTGATCTTTGTAAGCTCCACTCCCCGTATAATTATGTATCTATTTGTTTTTTGCACGGAATTTTAAAAATATTAGTATTATATTGGGATATAGTAGAAATAAAGTAAAAATAATTAAAATAACCTTATTAGTAGTGTGTGATATAAATCTAATGGTATTTGTGTAATATATTGAAAATTGTAAGAGTATTTGTAATATTAAGTAGATAGTATATTTACTAAAAAAAATAAATAAATATTTTATTATGGAATATACCAAAATCAAAAAATAAATATTTTATTATAGAACGGAGAGAGTAATAATAATAATTTAATAAATAAATAAATGCAAATTGCCACCGTAGAGGGGAGTTCTTATTAAATAAAAATAAATAAGTAGGCAATAGTACGGTGTGTGGGTGGGTGGGTGAAGAGAGCCGTGTAGGAGGGGAAGGGTAAAAAGGTAAATGGGACCCACACGGGGCACGCGCAGCACATTGGTCTCTGTTTGGTCTCTAGAGTCAAAACCTGATTGTGACCCACCCGCCCCAGCCCCTCCCTGTCCCCGTCTTCTCCTTATTTATTTATTTTTATCGGAATTATTTGTATTTAGGGTACGTTATGAATTTTAAAATTTTAAATATCAACATTTAAGATGAATTATGAGTTTGATAAAAAAAAAAAAAAAACCCTTATTGAATCTTAAATTAGTAAATTTTAAAATTACTATTATATATAATTTTATAATTATACAAGCTTTATTTAATTGTAATTTAAAATTGATTTAAAATAAAATATTGATTTGAGTTTTTATTTCAATAAAATATTTTATAATGATATTTTATGAGAAAAAAATGTATTTTTTTTTTAAAATTGTGCGAAAAAAATAAATAATTTTAATTTAAATTTAAAGTAACAAACTCATATATTGTCTAAATTTAAAATTTTATACTTTTACGATTTTCATTTATTTATCCTTCTATGTCTTTTTATTCTCTAGTACCATATTTATGATTATTTTTTACTAAAATACATAAAAAAATGATATATTATTATTATTATTATTAATGAGCAAAATAAAATAATAATAGTATGTACATATAAAATTATATTATAATAAATTTAATTTTTCATTACAGCGTGCGAATTGTTGAGATAGTTTCAATAATATTGTATCTTCTAATTCTCTATTCTTCTTATGCTACAATCAAACCATATCGATGTCACTGTAATTGAAAACATGGAAGGGTTTCGGTGCTAATTAATTTAATTGGGCATCATATTGATTTATTGTAATTTATTGAAATAGAAATCAATCCAACAATTAGTAAAATGTTAAGGGACAAAAATTCATGAGTTAGAATTTAGTTGTATTTAAATTGAAGTTATAATCAATGATACCATTGTAAATATAATAT